GTGAATTCAACTGGAAGAAACTCATGTCTCATAGATTTAGAGGCTTTGTGCTGATTCACTGACTTTGAGTCGAAGTGGTGTAGCAAGTCGTGCGGGTGGCAGTAGCGGTGTCGGCACACCACCACCAGGGCAACGAAGGACGCCAGGAATATGGTGGCCAATACCCCGATTGCCACAATCACCACTGTCTCCATGGCAACTCTGGCTCCCACAGCTCCTGTAGATGGCAACTCGTCGAGGGGGAAAAGTGCCCAAGCTCAATTACAGATGGGCGCTCATCTGTTGTGGAGACAATAATTGGTAGGTTTAGTTTGATTGGATGAAAACACAGAGGAGAGACATTATCACAACACTTATATATTTCTCTCACAAATTTTTGTTGCAGTACAATTTAGGCACGCCAGAGAGGAGAATACAATAAATGTTTTGTCTCTTTCTAAATTAGGTACACCTATAATACACACATAAAAGAGAACCTTATCTAAGCATACTAAGTGCACTTGCCCTTTTGTTTTGCACTTCAAACAGTATTTGTAATCGGAACAGACTGTTCAATGTACATAGTCTTATTCCAAGACTGGGTAAACATCTTCAGTAGCAAGTCACAAAGTCAACAGCTTAAACGTTCCTACGTGGCAAAAAGCCTGTTAAGACTCACTTTGATTAATAGTGTAACTAATATACATGCAGACATGCAGCTAAGCTCACAGTCTAAACAAAAGAGAAAATCTCCTGACCTCTACTTACCGACGTATTTTTCGATCATCCACAGTTTAATATAGATGGCATTTAGCCTATCAGATTGTAAAGTATACACCCTCTGCCCAGTCTAGTCACTCATTAACTTCCACTGCCATACCTGGTAACTATTATGTGTGCAAACTCTCTGTAGCGCAGCTGTCACTGGATAATAATGCAGGCCTCTAGGTGCGGCACAACTGATTTGTTATTTGTGAGGTCGCTTAAAAAGCAATGATTTGGTTTTGTAATTGGTTACAAGCACAGTTTATTAGGCAGGGCAGCTGAACTTTCAACATTACAACATTGTAAACCTACATATTTGCCTGGATGATTGTGAGTGTGTGCCATGGAATGCTGTAATTCTCTAATCAGATTAATTTGTGTTACACTCACCGTATCATACAGGGCTTTCTCCTGCCTGAGAGCTTTTCTGACTCTTTGTCTTTTCACAGGCCAGTGGTTTCTGAAAAATCAGTAAAGCCTTCTGCTAAAAGAGAAACAGAGGTAAACAGATTGATTTGAGGTATTTTGGGGCATGGAAAATCTCCACAGAGTCGCTCCCACATTCCTTAGTGCAGTCTGTGTTAATAAGAGCAGCAGCACAGCTTTTCATTACACTTCAGTGAAAATTTCTGACAGCTACAGTAACTAATTAGATCTCAAAAGTCAGGCAAAAACCGTAAATATGCTTAAAAGCAAAAACTGTACTCAAAGTGGCCCTCTATAAAAAGTCAATAAAAAAATACCATGCCATTTTTTTCCCCTCTTAAGTAAAATTGTAAGTACAGAGCCAGTTTAGATTGTGAGTAAAGAGCTTCCACAGGTAATACAGCATTTCGGTAATGAGGAATAATCATGTATCAGTCAGTACTTTAAAACTGCACAAGCTGTAAGTCTTCAAGGGAAACTGTTCGGGGCTTCCGAAGAGGAAAAAAGAAGAGCAACAAAACTTAAACACCTAAGTTAAAAAGTTACTGGAACTGGTGATAATATTATGAATACTACATATAGTCCATCTAAACTTAAATCTAAACTGACACACACACACACTACAAGGCCTTCATTAGAACAGCCGAGAAGAGCAACGCTTTAAACATCATCACTGCAAATGTGAGTTTGGGTTCCCTTTTCATATTCATGCTCTTATCGTCTTTTCTTGAACAAGAGATCAATGAAGACACACCTCTACTCTGATTCTCAGTTAATAATCAAATCCCAATAAAACTTTTCTACTCTCGGTTTTCCACAATTAGAAACATCGACTTTCTAACTTTTTAAATAAGGCTAAAACTTAGTAAATACTTCTAAGGTTACGCTTTAATACCCAGGCCACTTTTTGATCTAAAAGAAGATAGCAAACTATGCATTTCCCGGTGACTTACCTGGACATTTTTGTCCTTTTAGTCGTTTCCTGTGAGGAGACAAAAAAGTTTACGCTCCGCCGCCGGGAGCGCGGAGACGGCACCGACATCTCCAGACCTGGCACGTGAACGCGCAGGAAAGCTGCTCATTAGGCGCAGCGCTGAAGCTGTCGGTGAGTGACTGATGATCAAACTTCCCAGCGCGCGCCGGACGGCGTAGCGTTTAGTCTCGCGCGCATGCGGAAGGCTTGAACCGTGTGTGCGTGCAGCGCGCTCTTGCTGGGCTGTTAAGCTGCTTTTGGAAATATATACAGCGAGTGTGACACACACGGCTGTTCAGCTAACACTGGGTGGCGTCCCCTCACTGCTCATCTAACACCTGTGCGAAGGTGACTCGCCACACCCGTCAGGTCCCGTGCTGAAGTTACTGCAGTGGCTGAAGCTAATTAGCAAACTAGGGCTACTAGTAATGCTGTTACCAATACACCTGTAAAGGTAATTAATTACATTTATGTAAGAACTTTTTGCGCGTTTTTCTTTATATATGTATCTGCATATATACTCATAGGCAGGAAAATATTTGTACTTCATCGCATTTAGTATATTCAGTTACAATGTTGATCTCACGCAGCTGCGGCATTTTGTCTCTAAACAACTGTTATCTGCACATTTTGACTTTTTTCTTGAAATTTCGACTTTATTCTCAAAAAGGATCACTATTTTTTTTCTTTCTGTGGTCCTAATACTCTTTTATACCAAAGAGCTTTTAGTTGAAAACATGTGTCAGCATATTTTCTAATCATTTTTTATTTGATTTCATTTTTTCATTTAGTTCATTTTTAATTAGTTTACAGAATTGATTTTCTTGTTTCAGTTTAGTTGTTTTGTTTCCAAATGTTTAGTTTTTTTTTATTAGTTTTTAATTATTATTGTATGAAGGGCACATATTAGTAACAAGATTTGGGAAAATCAGAACAAGTATTATAATAAAACAAAATGATTTGAAAACCATTACCTCAGGCTTGTAGTCTCTAAAAATGTCCGTCAATTCCTCGTCAGACAAGTGGTAACACAATTATTTACCATAGTAATGGATACTAAAGCTTAGGATATTTTTTTTCTTTTTTAAATTTTTTTAGCTTAGTTAGTTTTCCAAGTTCACAAATTGCTTCAGTTTAATACTTTCCCAAAGACCCATCAGAAATGGTGTCAGTGGAAGAGTGGCAGTCAGGAAGCTATTCTAAAGGAAAGGAAACAGGGAGACAAGAATGAGTTATGCAGAATTCACTGGAATGAAAATCAGTGTCAGCAGGTTTCACAGAGTGCTGAATCCAATTTTGAATTTTATTCATGTCATCATCATTGTATAAGTTGGAAGTCAGAAGAGTGGTACAAAAATGAGTGTCTGTAAAGACAGTGGAGGTGCTGTGAGTGCTCTTTGAGATCCTGTCAAAAATTATAGAATTATGAATGCAGGAAACTACAGTCAGTTTTCGATCCACCATGCAATACTATCTGGAAAGCATCTGATTGGCCACAGCTCCATTCTTCAGCAGTAATGACTGTAAACCAACAGAATCACACCTGGATTTAAAAAAGAAACATAAAATGGAACACTGTTAGTGGTGGATTGGTCTCCCGGACCTCAACATTATTGAAGCAGTGTAGGATCATCTTGACAGAGAATGGAACAAAAAGCAGTCAACATCCAAAGAACACCTTTGAATGTACTTCAAAAAGCCTGGAGAACTATTCCTGAAGACTGCTTGAAGAAATGGCAAGAAAATCTGCCAAGAGAGTTCAGGCTGGTTTGAAGAACAAAATTGGTCATATCAAATCAAAGTGCTATTGTTTTATACACTGTATTTCCATGTATTTTTTGACGTTTCAGTAAATTGCTGAAAGCAAAATATAAAGAAATGCAGGGTGGCTCAA